GATCCGTAAAATCACAAAGGATTAAAAAAAAATAGATCACATCAAATATTTCACCTAAAGAAATTACCAGAACCGTGACCGAGTTAAAAAAAAAATATATATATACATATTTGGAATGATATCAATTTCAATATCACAATCACTGACCCGATTTCAAAATTACATAAGCGAATTCCCTCTCAGGTGAACAGCTACGCACGTTCTTCCAACAATTATAACTTCTAACAGTTCATCCTCCCAATCTCATCACCTAAGAATTCCAGAGACTGAACACAATAATTAGTTTGAATTATTATTTCTTTTGTTTTATAACCCACCCCCCATCCTCCCGCCCCCACCCCTACCCTACCCAGCCACCCCTCCCGCCTCTCTCGAGCATTTCTCTCTTCATTAAGTGTTCAGGCCTCACGCGTCATTAACTCCTTACTGCCTCCTCTAAATCATTATCTCTATCCTTTCTCTCTTCATTTTCTCTTACCTTGCCTCTTTATTCTTCTCATTCTTCTTCTCCTTCTCCTTCTCCCTCTCCTTCTCTTTTCTTCTCCTCTTCTCTTCTTCTTCTCCTTCTCCTTCTCTTTCTTCTTCTCCCTCCTTCTTCTTCTTCTTCTCCATCTTCTCTTCTCCTTCTTCTCCATCGTCTCCTTCTGCTTCGTCACCTCAGACTTTCATCTTTTCTTCTTACCTGTGTGGGCGTTCGTTTTCTTTCCTCCGCTGATGAGTCTTTATCGTCTTACTTGTCTTAAATTCGTTCATTTCTTTGGATCTTTAAAAATATTTTTCACTTTTTTATCTGCATTCCTATACATTTTATTTTTCATCTTCTTTATCTGCTAATTTCATCTACATTCACCTGTCCTGTCTTAATTTATACTTTCCTTCCCCTCACCTTGGTCCACACCTTTTGTCTTCCTTCCTCCCTCACGCCCTCTTCCCATCTTTCTCTTTCTTTTTTTCCTTTCTTTCCCCCTCCTCGTCTCGCCAAACCTTCCATTCTTTGTCCTCCGTTCCTCTCCGCCCCTTCCTGTTTCTCACCCTTGCCCTTCACCCTTCCACCCCCGCTCACCCCACCCTCCACCGGCCGCCCACCCTCCTCCACCGGCCGCCCACCCATTCGTAGTGTGATAGATAGCACCCTAAATAATGCAGGGTTTTGGAGGTGGATTGGTGTGTATATATGTTGATCAATTTATTGACTTGGGAGAATCCGCCCTCTTTTGGCCCGTGCATAATTCAGGCCTAACTTTTGCAACTACACATACATCCACACGTCTTCTATAAGAAACTTTTGATGATAAGGGAGAACAAGGTGAATTCAGCTTTTTTGAATTCAGTTTTTTTTCCTCCCTGTTTTTGCCTAACTTATTCTTCGTCCCTTCTACTTTTTTTCTTTTTTTTTCTTTCTCTCTCTCTCTCTCGTTCTTCTCTTCCACCCCCCTCCTCCCCTCTCCCTCCTTCATTTCTCCATTTCATTTTCCTTTCCCGCTCCGACTGTCTCTTCCTCCCCCTCTTCCTCTCCTATTCTCTCCCCCTTTCCCCTCCCTCCCTCCCTCCCTCCTCTCCTCTCTTTCGATAAGGCTAGAGATAAAAAAGCCATGATTTCCTTCGGGTCATAAATTTTCCCTCCAACCAACCAACTCCCTCCCTCCCTCCCTCCCCTCCCCTCCCCTCCCTCTTCCCCTTTCCCACCCCTCACCCCTAAAAAAATCCGCATTTCCCCCCGGGTGAAGTATCCATCATAACCATAAAGAATCTCTATCCCCGTCTCACCTCAACCTCCCCTCTCCCCTCCTTTTCCCCTCACCTCTCACCCCTTCCCCTCCCCCCCGTCCTTCGATACTCACCCGATGGAAATGTTCGCTTTAATCCCCTTCTCCAAATTTTGTCGGCCTTGTGCCTTCCCCAACCCTATTTTTTCCCCTAACCCTTCCTTCCGCCCTTTTCCCCTCCCCCCTCCCTTCCACCTTTCCTCCCACCCAAGCTCCATTCCTGTTCTCCCTCCATTGCTCCACCTTCCCTCCACCCCTTCCTCCACCCCCTCCCCCACCCTTCCCACCCCCTCCCCGTCCTTCCCTCGACCTCTCCAGCCAACCCCTCTCCCCATACCCCCCCACCCCACCCCGGCACCCGAAGCACCGGCCGGATCCCCGCAAGCATGAGAAGGAAGACAACACAATCTCCATTTTCGGATACCTGGGAAACATACGGGCTCGTCAATTACCCCCTCCTCCCCCTCCCCCCCCCTCCTCCTCCGGGCTTGTCTCATCCGGGGCCTCGCATATTGCATATCTACTCACCTCAGATGCGGCTTCTCGGCGTCTTCGGCCCCCAGGTGGGACGTTGGGGGGGAGGGGGGTGGGGGGGGGGGCTAGGGAAAGGGGGGAGAAGGGGGGGCTGAGGGAGGCTAGAAAAGGGGGGGGGTAGGGGATCCAGAAAGGCGTGGATAGGGGGTGGGGGGGAAGGTAGGGGTGGAGGTAAATGTAAGGGAAAGGCTTAGGGGAAAAAAAGTTAGCCAAGGATTGGACTTAGACAACGGATAAGATTAGCGATAGGATTAGGAATAAGAGACCAGGATGAAGGATAAAGGAAAAATTAAGAATAAGGGGAATAACGGGACAGGAGGGGATGAAGCGTAATGAACGAAGGATAGTTCCCCAAAGTATAACCGAGAGGGAGGGGGGTAGGTCCCGTGCGCACAGCACCCGGGGCCCGAAGCACCCGAGGTCGAGGTCTACAACCCACGGCGCGATGAACGGATTATTTACAGCATTATGTTGTACTTTGTATGCATAAGAAATTAGGGGACCCGCCTGGCCGCCCACCCGCCCGCCCGCCCGCCCCTCAGCTGCATTCGGGAACCTTCCCGGCGGGAGGGAATGCATCGTAAGGCATAATGGGATGGTTTTTCTTAAGCTGCGATGATGGCATGGCGCTGTGTAATCTTTTAATGAGGCTGTATACTATGCGTGTGCGGTATAGGCATACGTTTATATATATATATATATATATATATATATATATATATATATATATATATATATATATATATGTGGTGTGTGTGTGTGTGTGTGTGTGTGTGTGTGTGTGTGTGTGTGTGTGTGTGTGTGTGTGTGTGTGTGTGTGTGTGTGTGTGTATATGTATGTATGTGTATGTGTATGTGTGTGTGTTGTGTGTGGTGTGTGTGTGTGTGTGTGTGTGTGTGTGTGTGTGTGTGTGTGTGTGTGTGTGTGTGTGTGTGTGTGTGTGTGTGTGTGTGTGTGTGTGTGTGTAATGTATTTATGAATGTACATACATACATACATACATACATACATATATATACATACATACATACACACACACATTTATAATATATTATATATATATATATATATATATATATATATATATATATATATACATATATATATATATATATATATATATATATATATATATATATAATATATATACATAAGTATACATACCGTCGACGCATTCTTATAAAGGCTTAAGCAAAACGACAAATAAATAAGGTCGTAAAGTTATACCAAAGACCACTGATAAATAAAGACGCAATAAGCCTGACAGAAACTCCCAATAGACAAACAATATACATATGAATGAAGCTATTAACTATCAAGAACAAAGCTGTTTTCGCAATGGCCCTTTGTATGTCTTTTCCCTTTGATTCGTAAATTAATCCAGGTTATAAATCAATGAACTCTCATTGTGATAAATCTGTGTTCTTAATTTCGTAAGATGGGGGAACAAGATGACCAAAATATACAAAATAAAAAAGAAACAGAGAATGCAAATGCCAGTAAAAGCAATAACAAATACCTTGGTTGCATAAGGACCAAAAGATCAACAACGTATTGACCTGACATGCCCGCCACCATGACGTCACATGCCTCCCCCCCAACCCTTCCTTATCACCTATCCCGCCCCTTCCCCCTCCCTCCCTCCCTCATCCCCCCCTCCCCCACTCACCCAGCCCTTCGCTCCTATCGGGTGCGCGCTCGGGCCAGGGGGGAGGGAAAGGGAGAAGGAGGGGGGGAGAGAGGGCCGAGGGGAGAGGGCGAGGGCGAAGGGCGGGCGAGAGGGTGCCAGCAGAAGGTGGCACCCTCGGGCGAGACAACAGCCTCTTCTTCCAAGTTAGGGTAATCGGCAGGTCGGCGGCTTCCCGTCTTCCCTGAGCCGCCGACGCCGCGCGCTCGCCGCCGTCTTGGGATCACCTTACCGGCGCGGAAACTTTCTTGAAGAAGGCTTTTACCGCGAGACACGACGCCTTCCCGGGTCCTTTTTCTGCCGTTTAAAATCCGTCCTTTTGGTCTATTTATTCATTTGTTTATCAATGTTGTCTTCTATTCCATCTCTCCTTCCCTTCGTGGATATCTTAAGATCGATGGCACTCTATTCATACAGATTGAATGAATCACCTAAAGACACGCACGAAGAGAAAAGAAAAAAGACATACACACCTTCGTATATAAATCAACTTACACAGAGCTTGGATACGTAAGAGGAAATAAACAACTTACTTTAACAGCTACACACTCCTTACCTTTAGTACACTCTATACACACTCTTTACAAATAGATTACACACACACACACACACACACACACACACAACACACACACACACACCACACACACACACACACACACACACACACACACACACACACACACACACACACACACACGCAAGGCCAGCGTACTCACCTGCGATACGACCGTAGCGCTGGAACATGCGCTCTACATCCGTCTTGGTGCACTGGAAGGTGTTGAGGTTGCCCACGAAGGTCCTGGAGTTGACGGCTTGCGGATCCTGAGAATTGGTCTGGTTCCCCACCTTACTCATCTCGCACTGACCAGACACTCATCAACCCAGCTATGGTGAGTCACACCCGCGCGATTTGACCTCAAAAACAAACGACTTATGGTGTGCAACTTCACTCAACCAATTGATTGGATTTTTTTGAAGCGGGGGGGTTTTGGGGTTGGGGGTGAATTTCTTTTTCTTTCTTTTTTTCCTTTCTCTCTCTCTCTTTCCAGGCACCGAGGTACGTCCAGGCACAAGTTTCTTCACCTAATCTGCAAAAAGGGGAGAAAGGGGACGAATTTAGTTGTCGAAGGGAACTGCAGACGTGTGAACATACAGGCAAACAAGCACGCACGCACATACACGCGGGCAGCACGCATCACGCCCGTGCACATACACACACACACACACACACACACACACACACACACACACACACACACACACACACACACACACACACACACACGCACGCACGCACATGCACGCAGGCAAAACACACACGCACGCACGCACAAGCAGAAAATCACTCGGCAAAGGCAGTGATTTCTGAATTCCGTGGAAACCGCAAGCAAAGCTAATGACTTTGCGTTTCCGAAGAAAAACGAGAAATAGAAATATATGAATAAAAATAACAAGAATGCGAAAAGTAACGAAGCAGAGAACATATGCTTATAAAATACGTAGTTTCCACCCAACCTGCCCACCTGTTGTTCCGTTCTTTTGCGCTCACCTGAAATTGAAGAACAAACAAACAAACAATAAAGAACAAGAACAACAATACAAAAAGAACAAATATCCTCGGGCATTTCTCCGATAGAAACAACGAAGAACAAACACAGTAACAATAACAACAATGATTACACGAATACTAGCAAACCTCCCTCTCTCTCTCTCTCTCTCTCTCTCTCTCTCTCTCTCTCTCTCTCTCTCTCTCTCTCTCTCTCTCTCTCTCTCTCTCTCTCTCTCTCTCTCCTCTCTCTCTCTCTCTCTCTCTCTCTCTCTCTCTCTCTCTCTCTCTCTCTCTTACCCCTTCTCTCTCTGTCTCTCTCACCCCCCTTTATCTTCTCTCTCTCTCTCTCTTTCTTTCTCCACCCCCCCCCTTCTCTCTCTCTCTTCCACCTCCCCCCCCCCTCTCTCTCTCTCTCTCTCTCTCTCTCTCTCTCTCTCTCTCTCTCTCTCTCTCTCTCTCTCTCTCTCTCTCTCTCTCTCTCTCTCTAGCGACCGTTTCCCAAGTAGCGTCGTGTAGCGTCCGGCCCTGTACCGTTCGGGCCAATAGTACTTACCGCGAAGACCTATTCGTGGAACATTTTGTACTGAACGAGGGCAGGTCATGGTGCGTAGGGGCGTCCGGGGGTCGGGTGGGTGGGGGGTGGGGAGTGAAAGGAAGCGGGGGGGCGTTTAGCATTCACACGCACACACACCCGCACATATGGACACACAGGAATACGCGGAACATGTACATGCACACGTAGACACACATACAAACACACACACGTACATACATGACACGACATTAACACGGCATGCAAATTCTAGCACGACAGGACGCTACGACTCAACAATGAACTTAACTGGAGAGAGGAACATTTAGCGAAATACAAAAGATTTTTTTCTCCCATTGAAAAATCGCCTTACTACAGTTGAAAAAGGAAAAAAATACGGGAAAAAAGGATACGCTCCAGGGGAAAAAAGTACAGACGCAGAAACTGACACGAACGGTCATTATATATGCAAATAATTGTTCACTTGGCTCAACCTTGCCTTGAAAAAATGTAAGAAAAAAATGTAACACAGGAATACAATAACCTCTATTACACTCTAATGTGAAAAAGAACCAAAGCCACAACCCCTACTAATGGTCGTGCAAAGAAACTAAAAATCAGTCCACGAGTCATTAAAACAAAAACAAAAACAAAATAAAAGCACATTAACACTTAACACCAACACACCTCGCCACAACACACGGACAGCAACCTTGGATATAATCTCCACTATTTTAAACCCATTAGCACTGTTAATCCCAACGCTGTGTGAGGATAGCTGTTATTGTTCTACCATTTACATTTGCTCAGATAAACTTTAGGGGTCTGTTATAAGCCTATATAGCGCCGAGGTGATATAACTGCCCGCTGGAACCACCACACGATAAAATATTCACCAACATTTTGTACCGCGATTTCCTCTTTTGGGGAATATCAGCGCCCGCGTCAAGAATATCGATCGGCTGTGATCACGATAATAATCATTCCATAAACAAACAAAAAGATCACCAAAGGGAATTCCGGCGAGCAGAGAACAGAGAACAGAGCGGCGTCCGTTCCCAATACTCGTAGGAGGCGGGCGGTGAAGATCGACACTGCCTGCACAGATGGGTCGAGGCGCGGGAGCCCAAACGCGTCTTGATTTCTGCTTTGCAATTTGCAACCGCGGAAGCTTATGGAGTAATATTGCGCGCACTTACGGCCTCTCCTAATGGCTCACTGTATGGGATTTTCTCGTCCAGGAGCGTGCCTGCAACTATGCAATGTTTGAGTCAGCGGAGTAATGTGAAACTGGGCTGGCCAACACCGTAGATTATGTGACACGAAAATCCTTCTTTGTAGAATATCCGCATTGTGTAATCAAACAGATTATAGGAGCTTATTTTAATAATCAGAAAGTCTCCCTCGATTTTAAGGGAAATAAAAACACAACCCTTCTCACGCAATATCAGAATCATCCTAAAAGTTACAAGGGTCAGAGGCGTGTCATAATCTAATCCCGCCGAACGTGACAACTGGAATGCTTGGCGATCGCGGTTTCCCAGGTCGAGCAGGCGATCTATTCCTATTCCTCCTTTAGCGAAGAAATAGTTCTGCTCCTGATCACACAAACGACGACATAAAAAGCCGACGGAAATCCCGAGCAAATAAGGTCAGGGTCGATAGCATCCCCTAAGACACGCGTGTTCCTGACGGCGGGCATCAGCCACGACCCCGAGGCCGATCACGAGGAGGAAAAGGGTTGAGGCCACGGCAGATCCCGCCCCGTGGCACTTCACACTTACCGGCCGTTTAGTCGTCCCACGTCACCCTTTCACTGACCACCTTTTTCCACTCGGCTCCTTCCCCCTGAGCGGGCTGAGGCAACCGAGGCGAGACATGGAGAACTACCACCCAGGCACGACTACCCATGTGCTTTTCCTCTCCCGACCCTTTCTCTCTCTCTCATGGCATCTGAATCTACTGATAGGATTATTCTTTGACCAGATTTCACTTGAATGCTCCTGAACTCAGAACTTACAAATCACTAGTGTTGTACTGTTCCGTTGTGGAGGCAAAACAAACTCAAGTTGCTTTTCATCAGTCCGCTAAAGTCAAAAACAAAACATTGGTCTGCCTTCAAAATTGAGCAAAACGGAGCCACTCATAGAAGAAGTTAAAAAAGCGTGGGCAGGCGGTGTGCGTGAAGGTCGCCGCGAACGAGGGGCCGCGGCGTGTGCGCTCCCTCCCACA